CACGGCCCCGCAGAGGATGACAGAGGCAGCCTGGCAGGAGGGGAGTGAAGGGGCACCGGGAGGGATGTCTTGGGGAGCAGAGCTCTGCAGACAGAGCAGGCCAGGTGAGGAAGAGGCCAGTGCATGGACATTCTGGGAGCAGAGCCCACAGACAGTGAGGAGCTGGGGAGGGTGTGGACTCAGGACCCAGAGGGAAAGGCCCTTTGCCCGGCTGGTGTGGTTCAGTGGTTGAGAGTCAACACAGGAACCAGATTATGGTTCAATTCCTGGTCAGGGTACATGCCCGGGTTGCGGGCTTGATCCCCATAAGGGGCGTGTGGGAGGCGGCCGATTGATCACTCCCTCATCATTGAGATTTCTTTCTCTCTCTCCCTCTCCTTCCTCTTTGAAATCAATAAAAGCACATTTTTTTAAAAAAAGAAAAGAAAAGAAAAGAAAGGCTGTTCTCTTTCCTAGCTACCGGGACCAGAGAACAGCACAGCCTCGAAGCAGGGGGGCAGAGGTCATGCCAAACACACGAGCAAGGCAGAATCTCAGGTAGGGTGTCCAGAGATGACCTCTCTGAAACCCAGTCAAGACCCAAGAACACCCTCCCTCCCCCACCTTCTCTGAGAAGCATTTGCTGGTCTTTGGGGCTTTATTCCAAATTCAAACAGGAGCTCTAGGAAAGGCCTCTGGGGCTGCCTGTGAAGATGAGTGCGAACCTGCAGCTCCCATCACTGTCTGTCTTGCAAGAGGGCAGCATGCATGCTCCTGGGAGGGTGCCAGGGCCAGCTCTTCCTCACCACCTGCAAGACCTGGGCTGGCACCATGAGGAGGTGGTGGGGATGGGGCAGGAAGAGGTACAGTTCTGACCTTGAAACAGGAAACTGGAGGATTTATAAAGACCGTCATGGCACCCAAGGAAGAAGGCAAATCTGACTTTCCGGATGAGGAGGAAAAGTAAGACCCAGAGAGGGAAAGCAACTTGCCTGAGGACACCCAGCAAACCAAGGCAGAGCCAGAGTTAGAACCCACATTTCCTGCCTCCTGCAACAGGCCACAATTCTAACAGACACTTCAACATGATACACACCACCATTCTCTCAGAAAGCCTGCTGCTGCTAGAAGAGACTATGACAGAGAACAAGAAGATACAAAAATATGCCACCCCCCCTCCACCTTAAATTTGATGACGGACTTTACCCGGAGTTTTAGAAAGGGCAGAAATTGTGAGAAAGGAAAACAGCCCCGTCAGGGTAGCAGGTTCTGTGTGAAACGGCTTTCCTTTAATTTCCTCTTATTATGCCATAAACTTGACTTAATAATAAAAACATGCTAAGGACTTCTTAATGTGTAATTGCTTATAATATTAAAAATTATGGGAAAATGCTTTCAATTAATCTGTGTGTGAATCATCCTGTGAGATGATACTTTGCACAATTTTATAAGGTATGATGGGGGTGGGGTGTCACACATAAAGAGGGGGTCTAGCCAAAACCGGTTTGGCTCAGTGAATAGAGAGTCGGCCTGTGGACTGAAAGGTCCCAGGTTCGATTCTGGTGAAGGACATGTACGTCAGTTGCGGGCACGTCCCCAGTGTGGGGTGTGCAGGAGGCAGCTGATCGATATTTCTCTCTCATCTATGTTTCTGACTTTCTATCCCTCTCCCTCTCTGTAAAAAAAATCAATAAAAATTTCTTAAAAAAAAAAAAAAAGGTGGTCTAAGTAACAGCTAAAATGCCAGTTATTTCTGGAGATCTTTTGGGGAGTAGAGGACAGATGTGAGAATGTTTTAGCTACAGGCTCAGAGGGTGTGCTTTTCCTGATTACTTAACCTTTCTGTGTCTCAGTATTCCCATCTGTAAAATGGGTCTGAAGGCCTCAGGAGAAAGGATCCTAGTTGAGAATTATTCTATGCTTTTAGGTAAACTAGGGCTTCATGATCCAATTAATCTTTAGAAGCTCTTGCCCTATCATTATCATTACGTGTTTTTTTTTTTTTTTTTCTATCATTATTCTATCCTATCAAAAGCCTCATCTCTGGCTACTCCTCTCCAGCAAAAAGATCCCACACCTCATGCCTTTGCTCAAGCCAGCTCTCATCACCACTGCCTCGGCCTCCGCCCCGCCCCCACCCCATTTGGATGGCCCAAACTCCGTTTTTCTGGAGATTCACCTGCTCTCCTCTGCGTACCTGGATCTAGGCCTGTCACCCTGCTTTATGGAAGTCCCTGGGGGCAGTGACAGTGTCTGCCCAGGCTACATATCTAGTCTCTGACACAACAGGTTACAGCAAGGGCTCCAGGCAGCTGCCCAGGTGCCCTGCGGAGGGCCTAAGGACCACCTCCTCCACTGTCCTGGTGGCCAGGGCCTGGTCAGAGAACTCGACAACACTTAATTCCAAGCAAAGGACCAACAGGCCCTCTGCTCCCCAATAACAACAATCTTGTGCCCATATGCAAAGCTTGCTCGTTGCCCTGGCTGGTTTGGCTCAGTGGGTAGAGTGTTGCCCTGCATACTAAAGGGTCCCGGGTTCAATTCCAGTCAAGGGCACATGCCTGGGTTGCGGGCTCAATCCCTAGTAGGGAGCATGCAGGAGGCAGCTGATCAATGATTCTCTCTTATCGTTGTTTCTATCTTTCTCTTTCTTCCTTCCTCTCTGAAATCAATAAAAATATATTTTAAAAATTTATTTAAAAAACCCCCACAATGCTTACTTGTTCCAGTTGAGGCTATGTCAATGTTGTGTGCCCTACTTTATAATGAGGACACTGCAGCCCTCAATAGGCTAAGCCTCCTCACCCACACAGGTACCCACGCTGACCTAAGAGCCCAGCACCTTTCCTATACATTAGCGGGTCTCTGTGCATCGGGGGCCTTTAAGTCTGGGATCAAGACTGGTGTGAAGAGGGGAAGAATGGGATGCAAGGCATGGCTTTGGAAGGAGGCTGCCTGATTCTGCCGGCTCAATCAGAGTTTTGGCTTGGGGGTGCCAAATATATAGACAGTAGGGCAGGAAGGAAACCAGAAGTGTTCTGATTCTTCCTCTTCACTTTATACATGAGGAAACTGAAGCCCAGATGGCATGGAAGAGATCAAGACCAGAATCTCACCTCGAGAGATGGGCCAAGCAAGATGAAAAGGAGCACTAGCACTGACTAGCACAGGCCAGCCTGGCAAATGTCCCCTCCCCGCTTCAGCTCCCTGCCCCCATGTTCTGTAGATATGGGTCAAAGCCCCTCACTTCTATTTGTGAAACTGAGGGAAGTGACTTGTCCTCAGTTTCCCTCCCCTGTAAAATGAGACAGCACCTCCTTTGCAGGGAAATGGTGAGGTGTGCATGTCAAAGGGCCCAGGCCAGGGTCTGGGAGCCAGCCTCCGATGGCTCCTGCCATTTCCTCGTGTCCTGGATACCCTGGCGTCAAACACAAACACTACACTTCCTCCCGTACTCCACCCCAAAGACCGCCCTGCCAAGGCCAGGCCATACTTGGCAGTCTGCCTCCAACTTACATTGTGTCCTTGGGCAAGTCCCTTTTCTTCCCTGGACTCAGTTTCCCTGTCTGTTAAATGAGGCTGTTGGGTTTGGATGACCTTGAAGATCCTTTGCTGACCCTGACATATGAATGTGCCAGAGTCCAAAGTCACTTTTATAAGCCTGGGCTGATGCCTGCTGGATGCAAAACTGGCCGGAGCTGAAGGGCCAAAGCTCTCCACAGTGCTGCCACCGAGCTGGCGTTTCACTGAGCCCAGTGGGGGTGTACATGGGAGGTGATAGGATACGACAGCAGGAGCAGGTGTTACTGCAGTGCTGAGGTGAAGGCTCCACCAGTAGACCTGTTCCCTGAGCCTGGAGATCCTAGGAGGGTCCACTCAAATGCACACTCAGCTCTTGCTCCCTTCCTCCTCCCCAAAGGCTGCTTTCCCAGGAGAGATGAGGAAAATGGGAGTGAGTGTGAGGGGTGGCCCGGCACTCTGGGGGATACACTGAGGGCTAGAGAATCACTTTCCATGAACAGTAGAAGCACAAAGCAGCTGTCCTACAGTCTGCACAGGCCCCACATACACTAAGTGCTCTGTAAATGTCGCTTCCTTTCCCTTCCTTCTTCTAACTCAGGACGAATAATGTGAAAGTCCTCAAAGACATACAGAACACCAGTTCACTGGGCCTCAAAATTAGGGGCCGCTCCCAACCTGCTCCAATCCTCACAGGAACTCTTCTGTCTTTGCACTGGTCCTCTGAGCCAGGAGGACATGTGTGCGTGCATGTGTGCGTGCGTGCGTGCGTGTGAGTGATGGATGATAACCACCTGTCTGTAGTGGCTGATATCAGATCATTCTCTTAAGATGCTCTGGGCATTATCCTGGCTAGACAAGAGGCCCTCAGGATACTGGTCACCTGGCCACATTCTTTTGAGCTCCAAGCAATTGCTTTGACAAGGTTTTGTCATTAAGGGCCAATATAAAATAGTCAGGGGGGAGGGGGGGAGTGGAGGTGGAGAGGTCGGGGAGAGAGTCTGTTTCCTATAAACCTACCAGGTAGAGAGCAAGGGCTCTTTAGGCTGCTTCCATAGCCCCTAAACGAGGATTTAGTCTGCCCCCTCCTACTAGGTAATGAAAGAAAATGACCCAGCTTGCTTCTTTTATTGCCTTGGATGCTAGGAAGCTCCAACTTAAGCTTTTTACCTCAAATGCTGTATCTTTCTTCAGTCAGAAATTTCCAATAGAACTTTCCCCTCTTCTCCCCAGTTACTTCTCGGTCCCTATCTTGGTTACTGTACTTGGTCCCCTAGTGACTGGCCTTTTACTGTGCCCTGCCAGGTTCTTCCTGATGTAGGCGAACATGAACTGGGAGGTTGTGGTGAAGATTAAACACACCAGCCTCCCAACTACCACCTTGAAACCACAAACCTTCCTTCCCCTGCTGAGGCTGGCTGGGGACGACCATCCATGTGTCCAGGAATGGGCTCTCTGCCTCCTTGCTGAGTACAAGTCCTTGTGCCAACTGCCCTGCTTACCTGTCATGATCCTCTGGGCCTCGTAGGGCTCCATGTAGCCAGCACTCTCTCCCTTTCCGGCTTTACTCTTGAGATCATTCTTGGCATCAAAGGGATCTGAGTAGTCATCAGCGATAATCACCTGCAGGGAAGAAGATGCGAGGGTGAGTCCACCTTTGGCTTTCTGCTTCACGGCCAGGCTCTGCTCCAACACACACAAATGGGGCCTGCACCACACCAGCAAGGAGGTGCGGGGGGAGGCTGGAACCAGAGCTGGTGCTTATCCTCAGGAAGCTCCAATGCTTGCAGGGGTGACAAAGGGACCCTCCCTGGCAGTGCTCCGTCACAAGAGAGGGGCCTCTGAGCCTGTACATGCAGCACGGCCGGCTCTGGGCAAGGTGAAATGAGATCAGAAGGGCAACCGGGTAGAAAAGCACGGAGGCAAGAACCCGGAGGGTGTCTTTGGGAATGTGAATTGCTCAATATAATGGAATGGGATGGAAGAAAATTGGAAGAGGGATTGCAGAAAGCCTGGAAATGCTGACAGGTTCTTGGTGCTGGCCGAGGCACAGAAGAGCTTATGTAGAGATAATTATGCTCAGCGTTCCATTTCCCCCAAATCTGGAACACAACCACGCCTTGGGTAATCAGACAACAATTCGGTGAGCTCAACAAACTGTGTAAAGATGACTGTGGCCCCAGAAGGACCCAATGAAAACAAAAGCGGCTCAGGATGGACAGATGGACTGCTTGGGCCAGTAAGGGCCTTGGAAGCAACACATGGAAAGGCCTTTCTGTAACGGATGGGGAAGCTGAGGTCCAGTGGAGGATGGGGCTAGACTAAGACTCTTGGCCAGACCCTCTGCTCCCAGCGCCCTTCCTGGCCTCCTCACTTGTCTAATATTTCAGAAAATAGCAATTTTTACAACAAATGGACAGAGTCACCTGGCGGGGGGGGGGGGGGGGGGGGGAGAGGGGAAAAGAAAGAGAGAAGGGGGGGTTACCCCACGAGATTGTGAGAATCTGAGATTTGAACACTTTGGAGACCACATTTTCCCTAGAGAAGGATAAAAAAAAAAATCTCAGTTGGAGGCTAGGTGTAAACACAACTTTCCTTCCCATTTCTTAAATCCTAACCTTGAGTGGCTCACTTATCAAAGGGGAAAGGACAGGAACCCATCAAACAAGTTCCTCTTTAATATCCAGCTCCACACAAATCCACTGTGACTTCCATCATTATCTATCCCTCTGGTCACACATCTGGCAAAGGGCAAGTTCCTCAACCTCCCCGCCAGGCCACCCAGCTGACTCTTCTGGGAGGGGGCAGGTTAGCATTTCTCTCAACCCTGGGGTAACATGAATTGTTATTTAAATTGTGGGTTTAATTAGAAACCACAGGAGCCTCCTCTCTCTCCCAGCTCCTGGAATGTAAGGCATTTGAGGGGCCTATAAAGCCAGAGGAAGGGAAAATCCCCCCTTTGTCTGCCCCGAGAATGGCAGCTTGTGGCAGGAGCCCTGGCAGGGTGAGCAAGTGACCTCCAGCTGCCCGGAATGTGACGCTGGAGGAGGGACAGTGGGCAGCAGCCCTGTCACAGGCATGCAGCCGGGGGCCAAGGGAGGCAGAGCACTCAGCAGTCAAGCTCTTCATGGAAAGACCCAAGGCTGGAGCGCCCACCATCTGAGCATGTGCGCCCCGCTGTCTGCCCCCTGCTGCCTCCTCCAGGGGTTGGGCTCTGAGTCCCAGCGGGGGCCCTTCCAGATGCTGACATGGTAATCGTGGCCTCTTTTGAGACTCGCTGAGCTCAAATGACACCAGGCAGGGGAGAGATAGGGGGGTGGGGGAGAGCTGGGTCAGGCAATGTCTTTCATTTGATATTTCTATTCCACCCTTTGCAGAACACACCAGGGAGAAAATTATGCATGTGAACCACTGTCAACCAGAGCAGCTCAGACGCTGATCTAGGATAGGGTTTTGAGTCTCAAGAGGTGAGAAGTTCAAATGGAGAAAAAGATGAACCTGCTGTGGCTGACATCTAATCTTATGTCTCCCGCTCCGGCCTTCCTTCCTTCCTGTCTCTTTTCAGCAGGAACATCCTCCATCTATTCTGCAACGAGGAAGGGAGCAAATATTTCCCCAAGAAAACAAAATCATTTGTGGGGGGATTAGCTGAGGAGGTAGACAGGGGAGGAAGCTGGGCTGCAGTCTCTGTAATCTAAAAATCAACATCCCAGCTCTGTAATTTACAGACACGGAGGTTTGCAGGATATAAACCAAAGCTTTGCTAGCCCAGGGAGGGGAACGCTGGGAGGCCTTTGGTTCGGCAGGCACTATCTGTACTTTCTAATTAAAATGAGATCTGAGCTCGCGCTGTCACTGGCTCCCAACTGCCTGCCTTGCCGACTTCCGTTTCAATAAGAACTTACAAATCCTAAAACCAGGAAAAGCCCCTGCTCTCTGCTGACATGTGGTTCCAGTTATACCTGCTGACAGTTGAAAATCCTTCCGTTTAAAAAAAAAAAAAAGGTTTAGAATTCTGTTAGTTTAAGAAGCAAATCGGAAGGTCCCTAAAATGTATATTTAATCAACTTGCTTTGGAACTTCAAAGGGAAGTGGGTGGAGGGGAGGGAATTTGAGGTTTGAGCAACTTGAAGCTAGGCAAACACTTACTGAGCTGTCTGACCTTTTGCAAAATCATGTCCTGGTTTTGGCGAGTAATAATTTAACCAAGTGTCAGGAGAGTTGAGTGGGCAGTTGGCCAGAGTGGTGTATGCCCCAGCCACATGCACCGGCCAGTGTGGTCACTGTCTAAGCTGCCCAGGGCTCACTGTATTAATAAATCAAGATGACTAGCAAGAGGCTTGAGTGAAGGCTATTGAAAAAGAGAGAGGGAGAGAGAGAAAGAGAGAGAGAGAAACACTTTAAGTTTCCACAGATGTGGGCTTGGATTCCTGCTGGGGTTGCTTTTGCCCCAGTTAGCAGACAAGTCCTTCAAATCTAATTGAACAATTCGACTAAAAGGAAGACAGCAGGGACTTGTCAGCAGAGTAGGCCATCTGGGCACTCAAGATGCTTTCCTTGATTTTGCTCTCAGATTGGCAAAGACCTGACAGGGCATCAGACTTCTTCACCTGGCCTGCTTGTTTCATGGGGCAAGTGCAGAGCCGGGAGGGGACTCCAGGCTACTGGTCTCACCACTTCATTACGGAACTGAGCAGCAGCAGAAAGACAAGGGTGATGGCCCTGTCCGGATAGCTCAGTCGGTTAGAGCGTTGTTCCAATACACCACAGTTGCAGGTTTGATCCACGGTCAGGGCACATACAAGAACCAACCAATGAATGCATAAATAAGTCAATCAAATTGATGCTTCTTTCTAAAGTCAATTTAAAGAAAGACAAGGGTTATGGCTAAACCCCAGGCAAGTCTCTTCTTGCTTTCAAACAAAACTAGAGACCCCAGCCCGGTGCCCGTGAAGGACGTTCACAGGCTCATAAAGCAGTGAAACTGGGGGTCCTTGAGAGGCCTGCTCACAACCTCCTTCTTCTGAACAAGGCCCAGGGCAGCCCGGAGGGCTCAGCCATCCCTGCGCACCACCTCTCTGACAGGGCTCTGAGTCAGCTCTGCTTTCCTCCTTGCTGTTTTGCACACACTCCTTTCCATCAGTCTGGGCCAGGGTGTTTTTATCGTGGGGACTAAGCTTTGTGATAGGAAGCAGTCTTCCTGTTCATCCCCAAAAGGAAGTGCCAGAGAAAGATGGGTGTTGCCACTTGGCAACACACCCTTACGCTTTTGCAAGTTAGCTGCACCTGGGTGGAGAGCTGGACCTCTCCACGTGCTCTTGGGGAAAAGGTGAATCGGGAGAGCCACCCTGAAAGATAACCGTGGACAGTATTCATTAAAATCCAGAAATATTCATGGATTAGCCCAGCAACTTCGCTTCTCAGTATTTATTCCCAAATGTACACAAAGAGGCGTGGACCAAGATGCTCACTGGAGCAGGCGGTAATGAGAACTTGCTATATCCTACTCTGTCCACCCCTGGGGAGCTGCGGAATCCTGCTAGTTCCATGCTATGGAATATTCTGCAGCCGGTTTAAAACAAACAAAAATGAACATAGTTCTCCAAGGCTTAGCTTGGAATAAAAGGGAAGCAGGTTGTAGAAGGAGAGATACAACCTGATAACTTGTTCAGGGAAAATAAAACAGAAGCCTGTACCTCCATTTAGTGGAAAGAAAAGGTCTGGGGAGATACACACTGCTCACTGGCACCTCCTTCGGGGGAGGTGACTGGGATTGGGGTGGTTACAGGAAATCAAAGGAGGGGTGCCTGTAATGTTAACACATTTTCAAACAAGGAAAACTTATTGATGCATTATCCGCAAAAGTAAACTTTTAAAAAAAACACTCCTCTTCACAGGCTATTTTTGGTACAGTAGATAAACTGTTTCCCAAACTTGCCTGAAGACAGGAATGGCTTGGAATGCTTACTAAAAAAAAAACAAAAAAAACCCAGATACCTAGCCAAAACCGGTTTGGCTCAGTGGATAGAGCGTCGGCCTGCGGACAGAAAGGTCTCAGGTTTGATTCCGGTCAAGGGCCTGTACCTTGGTTGTGGGCATGTCCCCAGTGGGGGGTGTGCAGGAGGCAGCTCATCGATGTTTCTCTCTCATGGATGTTTCTAGCTCTCTATTCTTCTCCCTTCCTCTCTGTAAAAAAAAAAAAAAAAAAAAAAAAAAAAAAAAAAAAAAAATCAATAAAATACATTTTTAAAAAACGCAGATACCTACCCCCCAATAATGTGTATATTTAATAAGCAACCCAGGTGATTTTTATCAGGAAAGTTTGAAAAATGTTACGCTAGAGCCAGATCCCTCCCCCACCAATCTAATGCAAAGCCTTCAGGCATTACTCTGGATTTTCACTTTTCCCAGATATCTCTCCGTCCTGCTCATCAAAGTGAAGCAAGAAGTGGGTGTTAAAGGCAGCTCGCTCCTGCTTTCTTTCCCTGGGAATCAACTGGAGTAAGAGATGACCCAACATGCCTTGGTCCATCTCCAGAATCCAAGACGTAGAGGCAATGGCATCCTCTGTGCAATCTGAGGGCTGGCCCCACGTTGAGCAACAGGCTGTGTGTGTGGGGAGA